GCGCCCTCTAACGACCACAGTATATATACGCGTGTCTTATCAAAAAAAAACCGGCTATCAAAATTAGTTGAAAAATGTACATAAAATTTTCATTTTTTTTTTATTGTTTCGGAGTAAGATCAGTCGATTTAAACTAGGTAGGAGTTGCTAATTACCGCTTTTATAGGAAAAATATAATCCGTAAAGTGCTGACAACGAATAGGAACACCTGATCTATCGTAAAAAAAATTAACTCTGTGACGTCACTTGCTAAAAAAAAGGAGATCAAGGATCATGTGGGCGATAGCGATCGAAGACAGCAACACCCGTTTTATCCCCACATTAAGCGGGATAATCTGACCCCATAGTAATTTGTATTCCGAAATGCATACTAACAAAAAGACCACGGATGGTATCGCAGGGAATAAAGTTATGGTCCGACGCCGCTTTTGGGATAGGTAAGCTACCTACTTATTATTACGTACAAGAGGGTGTCGGTTATATACGATAATCGAAAACCATTTTCGAGCATTTCCGAAAATTTTACTATTCAATTGACTTTTTTTTCAACGACTTAAAAGAAACGCAGTATTCAAGGGTTAAAATATTCTTAATACCACTATCATTCAACAAAATCTAGAATTAGTTAGGTATTCGTCGTTCAAAACGTTTTGCAAAGTGATTAAAAAAATGCATTGAACCCTATAAGTTTAGAAGTACATATATTTTTTGATGTTTTCCATGACCGTTTTTATTTATTTAAAAAAAAAAATTTCATGTTGACGTAAAATTTTGGTTTTAGGAATTTTAAAGAACAGCTTCCATTTCATAAAAACAAATATTACGTGCAAAATCAAATATTTATTTTAAGATATATAACATTATAATACCCTAATGAAAAAGGTAAAAAGTATCGATGTGCAGCAGCGAATTCCTCAACGTCAATTGTTAACAGAATATTGTTTAAATTTTCTTGTTTGGATTCTTCGTTTATCTTCGGTCAAATCGTATTCTTCTAAATGATCAATGCTGGATATTATTGAAGTCGTACTTGTTCCTAAATCTTCTATGCAGATAATTTTTAAATTTGGAACTAATTTTTCATAACTCACATAAACTCAATTTGTTGCAAGAAACCGGAGCTCTATTGTTTTCACAATGTACAATATTACAATTGTGATTAATTTCAATTAAATCGCAAATGGAACTAGAAATTTTATCTTCTATTTCACTTCCATCTTTGTGAACTATTGAAATCTGTTCAATCCGTTCAATCTAACCTTTTTTCTATCGAGTTTTTAAATTTTGGATACTTTTTTGTTTTCACTTATTCATTAATTGACCATGATTTGTAAATTAGACAAATATTGAAAAAAGGAGCGTTGTTTGTGGAAAAGCACAAACGCACTTTTCGCTCAGTCCTAGAAAGATAAAATTGAAAAGAAGTATCGTCTTTATGGTGCAGATCAGTGTTTTCCAAATTTTGATATTTAATGCATATAATAAAAATAACATAATAATAATAATAACATTTATTTCAGCAATTAGATAATACATTCACAACAATATATCAAATGTGCAATGAATTTGAGAAAATTGTGCGTGAATTTGTTCAGTCTAAAGCAATTTACCTTACTGTAAGTTTATATTAATATTTGAATTGAATACTTAAATTAAATGAAATCACATTGTTATTAAATTTATCACCCTCTTAATTGTATTCACACTTAATTTATCAATTCCAGAATGTCATAGTCAACACTAAACAACCAGTAGTCAACAGGCCTCTTAATTTTTGTGTATTCCCTATTTTGCAAATACATTGGCGTTATACATTTTAGGGGCTGCAAATAGAAGGCTCTGAAGGCACTGAAGTAAATCGGCATGACATGCCCTGATTTAATACAAATCTGGTTTTTACTGAATGGCTGATTGTTTTTTTTGCGAATTTTGTTAAGATTTAATAGTATGATGAGTGTTTTAATGTCGATTTTGTTGATACTTAGTACTTTCTTGTTTTTGAATAATACTATTTTCAAAACACGCCTCTGGCTAGCGGTTGAAGAGCCTTATCCGCTAGAGCACCACAGCACCGATATCATACGATAAAATTGATTCTACTAAAGATTTATATATCCTAATAAGGGAACTCTACGACAAACATTGACGTAATATAAAAAATAGAATAACTTTCGAATTTTCACAGGGATTAATTGACGTGGTCGACCCATTTAAGGTTCTGATCAAAAGCTACCCCTAAATATTTGAACTTTTTCAAGAATGTTTATCTTTTGCAAGTCTGGAACACCAGCTTTCGTCATGGAATAACTAATTAATTGGGTTTTCTCTAAATTAAGTGACAGCAGGCAATCTATCCACTTTTTTACCAGAGTTATTAATTTTTCAGTCTTTGTGACAGTTTCTTTCCAAGTATTTTCCACAATAATCAATGTCATCCGTATAGCAGACAATACCTTCTTTCGATAAAATAGAAAATATTCCATTCATATATACTGTAAATACGATTGGCCCCAGAACCGTGCCCTGCGGCACACTATACCCTACCGGAAGAGGAAATTGATTAGTGTTGAATAAGGCATTTTTTTTCTAAAATATGTTTTAATCTAATTTCCATACACTTTTCAAGGACTTTACCCACACTATGCACTAGTGCAATTGCAATAATAACGGATTCCTTAAAAATGTACGGGAAGACTCCCTTGGAGAATACCAATGTTTTTCTAATAAGGACGTTAGCTATATCATCCCCAACATTTTATTTGTATTAATTCTTTTTCTAGTATTGGCGACAAAAATATACTCAAATTACTTTTTTCCTGTTTAGAACTTACATTTTTTGGCCTTTTGATCTTCCCCGCAAGTGTTTCCCCCACACTACTAAAGTAATTATTGAATTCCTCTTCTATGCCCTTGGGTGATGTACGAGGTCTGTTCAAAAAGTATCGAGAATTTTGAATTTTCGCGGGTTACGTATATTCGAATTTCGAATTTTTTGTGGCGTTATGTTGGTACTCATGTCTCTCATTTATGCCGACAAGCTCGGCCATTTTGAATGTTCATTTAATTGTTGACAGCTGCTTTGCTTGCACGTGTTTTGGATCGTCTTCGATTTTTACCTATTCAAAAAAATGGATCAAAGAACCTGTATCAAATTTTGTGTGAAAAACGAAATTAAGTGCGCGGATGCATTCCGAATGTTGACTGTGGCATACGGAGAAGCTACCTTGGACCGAAGCAACGTTTATCGGTGGTACAAAATGTTCTCAGAAGGCCGAGAAGATGTGAACGACAAAGAGCGTGCCGGACGCCCGAGCACTTCAACAACAGACGAAAAAATTAATGAAGTGGAGAAAATGGTATTGGCCAATCGTCGAATCACCGTTAGAGAAGTTGCTGAGGACCTAAACATATCGATTGGCTCGTGCCATTCGATTTTTATCAATGATTTGGGCATGAGACGGATCGCCGCGAAATTCGTACCAAAATTGCTCAATTGTGACCAAAAACAACATCGCATGAACGCGACGACCCAAATTTGCTCCAGAGGGTCATAACTGGTGACGAATCGTGGGTTTATGGTTATGACGTGGAAACCAAAGCTCAATCATCTCAATGGAAGCTGCCGCACGAACCAAGACCGAAAAAAGCGCGTCAAGTTCGGTCGAATGTGAAAGTTTTGCTGACAGTTTTCTTCGATTACAGGGGCGTGGTGCATCATGAGTTCTTGCCACAGGGAAGAACGGTCAATAAGGAATATTACCTGCAAGTTATGCGCAATTTGCGCGAAGCAATCCGCCAGAAACGCCCGGAATTGTGGAAGAACAAAAATTGGCTTTTGCACCACGATAACGCCCCTGCTCACACATCGTTGCTTGTGCGCGACTTTTTGGCCAAAAACAACACACTAATGATGCCGCAGCCACCGTATTCCCCAGATCTGGCCCTCTGTGACTTTTTCTTGTTCCCTAAACTGAAGAGGCCCATGAAAGGACGACGTTACGCTTCTCTTGCCCAGATAAAGACGGCATCGAAGGAGGAGCTGAAGAAGATAAAAAAAAATGATTTTTAAAATAAATTTCTACACCTGAAATAGTAAAACACGACGTCACTTAAAGGCAATATTTATTTGGTCTCGGCGTTAAATATTAAATTCCTATAAAAACTATATTTCTTTTAGAAAATGACAATTGTATTAACTTACCTGCTTGTAATGAATCCGCATTGTAAATTAACTGTCCACTTTTCATGTTAGTATTTTTAAGAATAACAAAAGCATCGTTAGTAACTTGTAAAAAGGCTTCTCCAACTTCCGGGTAACGACAAAAAAGTCTAGAGACTCTATTGCGCAGGTCTGGTATTTTATATTTACACCGCAAAGTTTAAAATGACAGAAAGTACGTCGTAGAGGAAAATATGTATTTAGTTTTATTAGTTTCGGGGGAAATCTTGTTGTACTATCTAAACGTCCCCTAAATAATTTAATTTCACTATTATGAATAATTGATATGGTAAACTGGATCTTTTAATGTGTACGGGCCACAAGTTTTTGTAATTGTTCCCTAATTTTGCATAGTTTTTATCAATTATCGTTTCATTTTCGTCATTAAATGACGGAATCTTTATTTTCGACAAAATTTACTTCCCCAAAATGTTTTGCCTTGACTGGGGCGCCGCGGTCGAGGGGGCAAATAATTCGCCACCTCGGCGGCTACGGGTTAAAAAACGCACCGTCAACTTTCGACGTTCAATCGAAAAAAGGCGACTACTGAACGTGACGTTACGACGTATTCGCGGAAACGCGGTCCAAGCCACGTGCGCCGTACAACGGGCCCCGGTTACAATTTCTTCACACTCAATTTGTCCGTTCCATAGGGTGGTGGGGGGAGTCCGTCCGGCCGACAAACAGGACCGGAACGCTCAGCAAGGGGAGGGGGGACTAATTTTTGTTTTCTTCCCTCCGATTCCGCGGCACTTGGTGTCGATACAGAGAAAAAGAAAACCAGACGAAATGTTGCTATCGTCCGCGCATCCACCACGTCGTCAATAACTCGCACGACGATAAGTTTTTCGGTTTTTATCTGGTCGCGTCGTTTGATGATAAGGTTGCGGGGCAGATAAGAGTGCTTTTGTGTATGTGTCTGTGTGGGTATGGAAACGAACGCGAGGCAAACGTCAAAACGATTTCAACGTGCGACGGACGCACGGCCTGATACGGTGCTGCCGGTTGCTCGTCGCCAAGTTTTCAAGTCGGACGCGTTCGAAAGAGCGCCCCCCTCCCCCACCACCCGGACCCCGGGAACGCCCCGTGGCCTATCGTGACCCGGCTGCGAACTAAGGACCTCCCCGAACCGCCCAGGCCAAGTCGGTGTCGGGCCCGAGCCGAAAGGTCACTAGTAGAGGCTAGAGAGTGTCGCGGGGTCGACCTATCACCTCCGACGCAGAAGATCCGACCGAATTCGCCAAGAACAAGTGAACAGGTTCATAGTGCATATACGGACTGATGTCGGATCCGTCTTCGTGACGTTTTTAACGGGTGGTGCAGGCATCTGACGGTCACGGTGATATGATCTAGTGCCCCGGGTGTCATCGTCATCATCGTCGCGGGTATTATGGCTTTGGTGGCCAGTTCGTGGCGCGAGACCACTCTGGTCAACCCCATACCGACTAGTCTTAATTCGCTGGCCAACGGTGGACTTAACCCCCTACCGCCCGTACCACCTACGGCCTCGACGAACCTGAACCCGTTACCGGGCAGCATCAACCCCATTACTACGCTGCAAGAGGCGTCCGGGGGCGATTTGGCGCTCATCAATCGTCAGACGCCCTCGCAGAATTCGCAGAATAGTGCTAATAGTGCCGACAAGAACCAGAACATTGAGTGCGTGGTGTGCGGAGATAAGAGCTCGGGAAAACACTACGGTCAATTCACTTGCGAAGGTACGTACAAACATAACGTATTTTTTCAAATATCGCCTGATAATAATTGTTTCGCGAATCACTTTCCACCCGAACTTGCTAAAATTATCCTTTTATTATCCTATTAGCTAATTGCATTTTGATATTTAAAATAAAAAAATAATAACATTTCGAAGTTCAAGTCAAAAAATTTTTTTCAAAGCTCCCAAGAACGTTCATTAAGCGAAAATTTATGAGTATTGCTAATAAATGATTATATAGTAAAACTTGCCATATCCGCATCAAAGCTGATCACTGACTAAAAACCAAAAAGTGAACATAAAAAAAAATTAAAACTAATCCGTCTCTTTTTCATTCAGTTTTCGTTTTGATGGAGAAACTTTTTTTTTCAGAAATTTTACCAATGAAATATTATTTATTATTATTTATATCCGATAATTTTTACAATAAGAAACTAAATTTTTACTTTTTTACAATTAAGTTTGTATTTTGATATTTAAAAAATAAATAAAAGTTTCAAAGCTCGCAAGAACGTTCATTAAACGAAAATCAGAAAAATGAAATACAAGAGAAAAAATATATATAGATGTCATTTAATTTTCGACAGCGATTTCTGGATTTTTCCGAAATTTTATTAATATCGTTTATGTGTAATTATTATATGTAATATTGAAACTAACCAAAACCGCGAGAACAGTCGAGAATGTTTACCAATTGAAAATTAGCCAATGGACATATAAAACAAAAAAAAACGAACCTAACTGTATTAAAATTGTTCAAGAACATTCACTGATTAAAAACCAGAAAATAAACATATATAAAAAAAATCAAACTGATCCTTCTCTTTTTCATTCACTTTTTGTTTCGATGACGAAACATTTTTTTTTCCGAAATTTTATTAATGAAATATTATTTACTAATATTTATGTCTAATTATATTTCCAATAAGAAACTACATTTTTACTTACCTAAAAATGCGTTTTTTTACAAAATCGCCTGATAACAAAAAAATTTCAACGACGTCACAAAATTTTTCAAAGCTTGCAAGAACATTCATTAAACGAAAATCAGAAAATAGAAATATAAAAGAAAAAATATATGGATGTCATTTAATTTTCGATAGCGAATTATGGATTTTTCCGAAATTTTATTAATATCGTTGATATGTAATTATTATATGTAAAATTGAAACTAACCAAAACTTTAAGAAGAGTCGAGAATATTCACCAATTGAAACAAAAAAAATAAAAACGGACCAGTCTGTTTTTAGGTCTCTACCCTAAATTTAATATCGCAAAACTTCCCTAAACATTTTTTTCATACGAAAACTAATCATATCTGCAACAAAATTGTTCAAAAATATTAAAAACTGATTAAAACCAGAAAAGTAATATATCAAAAAACTGATCCTTCTCTTTTTCATTCAGTTTTCGTTTCGATGGCGAAACATTTTTTCCCGAAATTTTATTAATGAAATATTTTTTATTAATATTTATATCCAATTATTTTCCATCTCATTTTTACTTATTAAAAAAACTGAATCTAACCAATAGATATTAGAATTTTACATCCAAGCTAACTGAAAGATTATGAAAAAGTAAACGTCAAAAACATAAATATTATTATTATTATTAGCGTAATACTTCTTATAAATAACCAAGATTTTTTTACAAGAATTAATTAAAAAGCAAATGTGGAAATAATAAAAAAATAAATGAGAAAAAAGTATTTTTGTTGTAAATATCGTAGTCAGTAACTATGTATTAATAATAGTAAAATGATTAACTAAAGGATTTAAAAGAGATCGGCAAAAGCTAAAAATCCAGATAACTATAATTATACGTTATATTAGCAGACGGAGAAATTGATGACTTCAACCTTATAACTTTCCTTATTAAATTAACTAAACAGAGTCTGTTAAATCATTATTATTCTTTATTAGGAGGCCCGGATCTAATAGCAATTTTTCGGGGCTGGGAAAAACTAACTTAGACATACATATTATAAAAAAGTGTTGCATTTTATGCACTATGTAGAACGTATATCTTAGTAGAAATAAAAAAAAAGTTTTCAAATTTAAACTGCAGACTAGTTCTACTATGGGGTGGTTCGGCCGTATCTATTATTAAAAGATGTCCTACAAGTCTTTGTAGTACAATATTAAATAAACATATTTTTAGATATAGTGTCTGACGTTTTCCGGTCTCATGCAAATTAACCAAAAAGAAAGACGTGAAGTGATACACTATCGTCCTGGCGATGTAATAATTACGGATTTCTCCCTTTGAAATCTCCAAACAACTTGATCACACTTGAGGTTTTAACCTATCAGGGTGCGATAAACAACGACCCATGTCGTAAAAAATTCATCCACCACGAGCATAGAACCACCTATAAATATTGGTTCAACGGGGCATGCGGGGGATGGGCTTTGTCGCAGTTCGCACTGCCGAATCCGCGATTCTTATTTCGCGACTATAACGCTTTCATTCAGAAGATAACGAAAAGTCATCAGCACGACTGCTGCCGTTTCATGTATATATAAAGTACACACACACATCTTTTTGACCCCCGGGGACTTCTTGACCCTTTTATTAATTTAAACGCTGTTATATATTGAACCGTTTTAACCTTTTCCGCCATGTGGTTTGGCGCGATTTATCTATTTCCCAATGGCACACTTCCTTTACACAATGACCTTTTGCAGCATCGTAAGCTATACGTGTTAAAGAGATAACAATAACGATCCCGCAAGAACCAAACACGGAACGTTTTGTTTGTGTCGCTCTATCAATTTTTTTTTTCATTTAAGCAACAAATTCTCAACAAAACCCAAAAATATTTGCGCTGTAGTGCATATAAAAATGTATCGTACTCTTGGTATTTCAAAAGCGTGGTTAACTGTTCCGGTAAATAGTAATTCTTGTTTATAGCTGCGGGTGCGTTAATTTAATTGTACTTTAAAAAACACGAAAATTAGGCTCCTAACTAATACTGCTGAGAGAAGAATTTACTGTTTCGCCTTCCTGCGACATCTGCGATTTGAAAATCAAACTTGTAATTTGCTATAACCTTGTTTTTCTGTGCAGACATTACTTATATAGTTGTTCATTTGACAACGTGGTTTTAATTTTAATTAAAACACGTAAATGAAGTCCTAGAAGGGCCCTTGATTGGCATTCATTGCAACCAAAACAGATAAAAATCCGGAAAAATGTGGGGGGTCTCTGGGATCTATACAGAACACGAAAAAACAACATGGTTTTGGTTAGTATATTTGTATACTTATCTACCTGCATACTTAATCTCGCAAGAATTAAATAGTTTATGTGTTATTAAAACAGTAATTTTTTTATACAAATTCCAAAAAATGCTTTATTTCCTTTCAAATAATTTATTAAAAATGATACATTAATTCGTGTATTATTTTTTTCTCAAAAATTTTATGATTTTGTCGATATTAAACAAGCATACGTTTTTCAATTATGTGCTCAAGCAATCCAAATTTTTGTTGTCTTCTTTATACGGGATGTGGAAAATTATCAGTTCAGGTGTAAAACTTAGTCCACCCCTGGTTACCTAAAAACACTAAAAATGTTTCGAGGCTACTATTTTAAGGGTTACTTACAATTACATTATTCTTTAAACACTTTATTTCTTCGTGAAGAAAAACCTAGTGTCCAGCGGCGTGCCTTAGGGGTAGGCCTCTCTTGCAACTGCAATGTTTTTTTCTTTATATTTGAAGATTTTCCTCATTTTCCAGGATACCTTTTTATATTTTAATTGTTTCAAAACTATAAAAATAAGAGAAGAAAGAATATTTCTGTGTCAATAATGTGATGTGATAAAATGAAAGAGTTGGTTAAAATTATGTTAATTAAAAAATTAAAAACATGTTTCTGGAGCTGTTCTTCTAAAATAGTGGACTTTGAACGCGTTAGTGTCATTATTCGGGATCGTACTGTAGCGGTGTACGAAATTCATTTTTGGGAAAAAAAATCACGTCGAAAACTAACGGGGTATGTGTGATTACGGGGTTATTATGGTAGATATAGCATGTCGATGTATGATTGGGCGTTGGGGCTCTCGCTTCGTTTAATAATTCACGGCGGAACACCTGCCTTCATTTTCTTTCCGTTAATATTGAACAATAAATCCGAACGCGGCTGTCCGGGCCTTAAATGTCACATTTTAGTTTTGACCGAAAAAAAGAATTAAACTAAACAATAACACCGGACGTATTGACAATATATGAATTGTTTTCAGATTTATATAATTGTCTGGGAATTGTCCGACCGTAAAGTCAAAAAATATATATCGCGGGGGGATAACGATCGGGTGATGTCACGGTATATAAGCAATGCACCTTAGCATGCAGTTGCGGTCTCTTTTTGCTATCTGCACATGCACTTTATGCAGCTGACCTCTATATTCTTCGGGAGGCGCATATCGCGCTTGAGGAATTTTTATGATCGCCAACACACACACAACAAACTCACGCAAAAGTTTTTTGTTTAATTAAAATCAAGCTTATAAATTAACAACCCAAAACGCATTTTATTTTAGTATTTTAAAAAAAGTTTTTTAAAAATATTCTCGCAAAAATATCTTACTGACATCTCATTCACTGTAATTATATTTTTTACTGTACTAAGTTGGTATTTTAGATATTTTTCAATTTTTTTTTCCAAATTTATATTCAATATAGCTGCGTGGCCTGGTCAAATTTGGAGGAGGATTGCACAACACATTTTTGCTTTAATGGACGGGAAAAAATAACTTAAAAATCAAAATTAAATTATGTCAAAAATTTTTTTTCTTCTCTATACTGCACAAATATGACGAAAAAAACAAATTTTGAGCTAATTTAGAAGGTAACTCTCATCCTTATTCATTTTGAAAATTTAAAAGAAAAAACACGACAAGCAGAGAATCTTTTTTTGAAGCACGTAAATACGACCTTCACTTTCGCCGCTTATTTTAAGCACGCGTTTACTCATATAAGTACTACTAAGTGCGATCCGAGCCTACACTTTTACCAATCAAGGCGAGATACTATTACGTAGTATATACAGACTATACAGAGTGAGTCGAAAAGAAGGGTCAATCGGCAGATTCTTTGTGCAAACATATTGGGAGGTTCATTATGCTCTTTCCTGGTTTCTAAATACGACCGTTAAACTTCATTTATTAAATGACCTTTTTATTTATAAATAGCATGCTGTAATGTAAATTTTGGCAATAAAAACCCCATACTAGCAGAAAAAATGGGTGTAGTATTTTCTCGATGTACGCACGTGGTCTCGTTTTTTGCATAATTTTTTATCTCTGTAATTTTTATGACAATTGTAGTTTTTCAGATATTGTACATTAATTAAAAGTTAAAAAAGACCATTACTACATGTCACAGTGTCTTAATTTAATAGACAATAAACAAAACATTGTTAAGTATATAAATGATATATTTTAATAATAATAATTTACCTTAAATGTTTCACGTGTGCCTTCTTTGTTAATCCACGTGTCGATATTTCTTAATTATAGCAATAAAACGGGAAAGTCATCATTTAGGCGACATTTCACCGTAAAAAAACGCTCCGGGCGATAACAAATTACTGTAAAACGACTGAACCTTAGATGACCTTAAAATTGGAGTTTCAACGTGGCACGTATCGGTGTGTGTACAGAGTGATTCATTAAAGATGGCCCTCGACTCTCAAAATACACAAGTAAATTATGAACAACCCTGTATATCTTAAATATTAGAATTTATACGAATGAGCGCGCCCGTGGTTCGGATATTATTTACATTCCGCTGACACCAAGCGGGAAAAAAAGTTTCCAATGAGCGGATTAAATTTGCATAATTCTATTTTTCCAGGTTATGTCGTCCCGACCATGTGAATGGGCCGAATGCAAACGAACGTTCGATTACGAATTTAAAACTAAGCGAGCGCAACTTTCACAAGACGAAATTTCGCTTCTATATACTCGCCCTCCATTTTTGATATGGCAAAGTAACAAGAGTAATATTATACCCGAAGAAATCGTACAATAGTAAGAAACCTTTCCTTCGGGATTAGAAGACAGTGACAGCTGTATAGAAAAAATTTAAGTCAAATGTAAATGTGATGCTGGTGCGGCTTCTATCACGGAAAACGTGGGTTGGGGGCCTATTTTACAATATAAATAAATAATAAACAAAAAATTTATTTTTCTGTTGTCCAGAATTCTAATAAAATCCCTTCACAATTAACATTGCAACTGGTTAGGTCACAAAAGTTTCTGCTGACAAATTAAAATTCTGAATACAGTATAACCTCGGTAACCCGGAAAGTGTCTAATTATCAAGGTGTCAGTATGATTGGAACCATTAATTTCTTGATTAAAAAATGGTGAAATTGCTTATTAGTATAGGCCGTTCTGATCGTTTGCCTTTTGCCTTAAAATGTAGATCAACTATGCATGTTTATGACAATGAGCAAATACCCTCAATATAATTTTTGACACAAAGTTTTCTATTCCGTTCTTATTTTTGTTTAGCAAAATTTGCTGTCGTTTGACCTTCGGATTTATCTAGACTTTAATATTCCACATTTTTGTCTAAGAGTTAACGTATTGTGCACCTATCGTTTGGAGCCATTGCCAACAGAACATGTACATGAAAATATTCACTGCTGAACAGGCTCAAGTTTATTTAATATTGTTTATTTAAGTAATTATTTAAGTAATTAAGTAAATAAAATAAAGTACCAAAAACCCCTTATTATGTGTACCAAAAATCACTGGAATATCGTTTGCTATTAATTAATAATAAAAAAACGCATCAAATTTTACTTTTTCAACACCCAGTATTTGCAAAACTCCCTCCTTTTGTCAGAAAGGCTAGGTGACGCACTATGGCTCTCATCATACGATTAAATAAAATAAAAAGAATGCAACAATCTTTATGTAGCGTCAAACTTGTTAAGAAATGAAAAATTTTATGGTTTTCTTATGAGCCATTTTAATGTCATATAAGTAAAATTTTGAAAAAATAATTATTTATTTATGTATTTTCAACAAAATTAAAAATAATTGGTTTTTGAAACACCCCGAGTAATTGAATTAAAGGAACAAATTCGCAAAATTTCACTTGAAGCACACTTTCTAATAGATAGATAAGTTTAAAATGAAAATTTCCAACTATTTACTCAGTGGGTACGTCAATCGAGGATTAACCAATAACAAAAATATTTACTGTTCGTCTGCGGTGATTAAAAAATAATAAAATGGACGTACTGACACGCGCTGATCTAGCTAATTGACGCGTATACGCGCAATTTGGTTCGTTTTTACGCACTTTCGTATATATAAAAAAACGCGACCCGCGCGAAAACCGGGTCGTAAAAAGATTTGGCGAGAAATACGCGACTCGGGCAATATTAATCTTCCCGCCCATCATACGTGTCTCATTTTTATAGTTTTATTGCCAAAATGTTTTTATAAAGGTTCATTTTTCTTTTATATGCCCAAGGGTGTTGTCAAACGCTCATCTCCGATGGGGGGCGGGACCCGCGCGCGCGTTTGCCCCGGCGACCGTTATCTTGCCTTATATGGAGGGATTTTTTTTCCTTCTCAAATTATAAAACTATGCCACCGCGAGAGCAATCAAATAAATCACCGCCCATTGACAGATAAGTGTGACGCGGGTAACGATTTTTTTTAATAAAACGGGGTGCTTTTATTATTATTATTATTAAATCGTTCCGCGGGGGTAAGCAGCGATAGCGTTGAGTATTTTCAATTTCCTAAGGGCTACGTGAATTAGTCAAGGTTGGGTAGCAACTACGTTCCGTCTTACGAACATCGAACGGTGGTGATATTTGTCATTTTTTTCTTTCTGTTTCAGGTTGCAAATCGTTTTTCAAACGTAGCGTGCGCAGGAACTTAACGTATTCGTGCCGTGGTAGTCGGAATTGCCCGATTGATCAACACCATAGGAATCAGTGCCAATATTGTCGATTAAGGAAATGTATTAAGATGGGAATGAGGAGAGAAGGTAATTATCATGAAACGGCAGAGGGAGTCCTAATATTTAACCTAACCACTTCCAAACCCCCCTTTTAACGATAATGAAACGAAAATTTTTCATAAAATTCGCTATTAATGATTACTTCATATTTAGAAAAAGGTGGTAAACTTTCTGCAAGCCGTTTTCAAAATCCTCTAACTTTACCAAAAATTTATCGTAACCATTATGACGCCAATGTTCAAAAATGAAAAAAAAAGAAGTACGTGCTTGGTGATTATTTGAAGACCAAAGTTCTGCTCCTTTGTAAATTCACTTGTTTTATACATATATCCTTTTTGTAAAGTGTTAAATAGTGAATTATTTTCATGCTCTTCTAGTATATGATCACCTTGCACATTTTATATGGTTTGGACCAAGTAAACATTTAGATGTTTCGTGTGTTAAATTTGCATATATCTTTACCTCGGCGTACAGATCCGATCGATTTTACTTTTTGTCTTTTTTCGAATAATTTTTAATATTTATGTGTGGATGGCACGGTGTTAAATGCCAAAAATATTAAAATACTGCAAATTTTGAGGATTCTGTAAGTCCCGTTCCTTGACAAATTTAAACCTTCCTCCTGTGATGATTCAAAGCTTATTTTGTCCAGATTGTATAACACTGTCATAAAGGGGGATTCAAAAAACATGCGCTTTGCTGTAAATTCGTCATCCCAGAAAATAAAAAAGTTCATATAAAAGTATGGGAATGCTTAGGTTCCAATATAAGGAATGTTAAATATATTTTTTAGAACGGTCACTTTGATCATTTCTTAAGCGTTAATGTTTCATAATTAAGTTTATTGTCTATCAAAGGGTCCAAAATAAAAATGTTCCTATCGTCAATATTTATTATTTCAAAAAATTGTTCTTTTATTAGCTTATTGAAAATTAGTAATAAAAATTGAAAAAAATGCAGTGACGTACATCTTTTTGACTGGAACTAAGCATTTCCGCTACAATACATACAACGTCTTTTTGTTGTTGGCAAGCTATTAAAAACTAAGGATATTTCGAGAAGAACGAAAAGCCAATTTAGATTTGCAAATATTTGTATATAGGTTACTACTTCTAGTATTTAAACCATGTATATGACTTTTTTGTTATTAAAAACAAACATTTTAAGAGTTTTTTCAGCAACAGATCTTAAGTCGTAGTTGGCTGTCTGTTTCTAATACTGATTTTAATTGACCAGAACCTAACCTGCGTTTATATGAACAATTTTAAATTCATGTATATCTTTTTTATCGTAAAATGATTAAATAAAAAATGTATTCAGTGGTACACAATGTTAATTTTTTACTTACAACTTTTGCATATATTTGAAAATTTCAATGGACCTTCTCGGCCTCTGTTTCTATTTATGCTCGTTGAAAATATGTAGAAATAAAATTATTACCGAGTCAATTTTCCTATCAGTTAATTGAAAAATTTTCGTTGCTAGAATACCCTGAGTGATTTTAGACGGCGGATATACCTTTGGAAACTTAAAATGGCCCATAGGTATACCCTTCGACGTTTAAAGTTAAACACACAACAAATCGCCCGAGATTGTTCACTTTCACAATAATAAGCGAAAGATTTATGTCTCTATTGACGATAAACGGCGATTTTATAACGTATGCATATTACGACCGTCGATAGAACGGAAAAAAGGTTAAAAGGTTATCCCGTTTATTTCGAATTGACGGTTGAATATTTTAACTGTTTACGGAGTTAAATCTTTCAACTGTGTGTGAAACGTTACTGCCGCCATGTCGAAAATGATTGTTGAAATACAACAATTATCGCGAATATTGATAATCGCGATTAATTTTTTAAAAATATGATATAAAAAAAACAAACGGTAGACGTATACGCAAAATCTGGGGATATACGTGGTACATAACCATTAATCTTTGGCGGACTCGTTAATATATGCAAGTGGTAAACGATCTTTTAGGTATACGACAGGGCCGTTTGCTGCCGCTAGCCCGGAGAACTGAGGGCCCCTTTTGTTGGACCTTACGGTCAACTATTTGTATATTAGACCGATCAATCATAAGCAAGAGAATAGGGCCCTTTGCTGGCCTTGCCTTGGACTGCTTTGGTATTCTACCATCGCTTATACATACATAAACCCCGAATATTTTCGTATACTATACACATCAAGGATAACACTCTCCCCCCCAGTCCCCCCTTCCGCCCCCCTCCTTTACCCGTTCCGTCTTTTAACATATACGCATATATATATTTTTCTAACCGAACGCCGTGGTATAATAAAAAATGATGGCCCCAATCCACTGTCCCTTTCCTTATGTAAACAGTAATAAATTCCTTTTTTACTTAAATGTGATCCGGGGGGTTTTCCGAGGGTTTAACTGATATCTCTTTCGGAAAATTTGGTTACAAAAGTGATTTAATGCGATTACCTCGTTATTCGGGACCCGTTAAAATATTGTATAAACCCGCCCTTTTTATCACCATAGAAATGTGACGACAAAATTATTATCTCTTTTATCCTAACACTAACAACAAAATCATATTGCAATTGCACAAGACGGCGTAGTTATAAAATAGGCAACGTTCAAAAATATGAATTCGAATAATACAATATTATTTGAATTACTGATAAGAGTTGTACTGTAGCTGCAATTTGAAGATTAATACCCCGTTACCATAAAGAAAACTTCAAACCTGATTTTCGACCGTCCATTGTTAATTTATTGATAAAAACGTTTTTAGAGGGGGGTGGGGGAATTCTATTAGCAAATTAGCAAATTTTTTAACAAACAAGCGTTCCTCGTAAAATTATCCCAAAAATGTGTTATTGTTTTTATTGGCCGTGAGTACCCGCACCCGCCGCTGTATTTATTTATTTTATCCACGGAAATTTTAAGCGACGTTAGACAAAATACAATTTCGATTATCTTTGGAAATTTCCGTTTCTTCAAGACGTAGACGAATTTTTACTCGCTTAAAAATTCTCACTTTCCCTATTGAGTACACTTGGTACACAGAGGAGGAGGTATCAATTTTTTTAGGTCGTCGTGAATTTTGATAATTATTTAGTCGTATAATTTTTCTTTAATTTTGTTATTTTTCTTATTGTTATTTAAAATTGAAAATATAGAATAAAAAGAAAACCGTTGAACATACATGAAGAACGCAGTATTATTCTGCATTATGTTCAAATAATATACAGGTTATTTTATTTAAAAAAGGAAAAAAATATAACTTTCAAAATTAACGTAACTTCTTCATCAAATTTTGGACATTTTGTTTGGGATTGATCAATTGCCAAATTCTTATGACATAAGCGTTTCTTAGTAGTTAAAAATGCTGTGTGGGAAATAACGTTACGTCATTCAGAATAGTGGTGAATGTCCAGAGACCAAAAATCAGTTGATCTAAATGGTTAGTTCTAAACCATCCTGACTCATGTGGCCTAAAAAAATATGTCAAAACCTTTGATTTTGCTTGACTTCTCATAGTAAATACGAAATAACAAGATAATCCTTGAAAATACGTATAGGGTAAGGGAATGGATGTAAAATTAATTGTTACCATGCAATAATAGAGTGTCGTATTTGAGACAGTTATGTTTTGCTCTGCCAAAATAATGTATTTTGGACACACTATAAGCGAAAAATCAATTCTCAATTCAGTTTCAAAAGACCGATTTTTGGTTTACGTTTACTATACACGAGTCAAAAATAGTTAAAACGTGCATTGTTCAAAATGATGTTAGGTCTCTCAAAATTTTTATATTTACCAGGATGTCTAACAAACTATTGATATAAGAAAGTGACCAATTGCTTTGATTGGGATTATCCAAGGGTGGTCATTAACATACAATGCAACAAGATTATTACCTAAAGTTTCGGAATTTAAATTCAGGTAAAATTGTGGTCCGTAATAGAAAATAATTTTATACCTATCTGTGCTTAATACTCTTTGGTTTAGTATACTACTTAGTTTGAGTTTATTAGTAATCATTCTTATTTCGTGTGTTGAATCGTGTGCGAATTATGCAAAATATGTGCGAGTCTAGTGTATTTCAGGACATGCTCCCGCCCAAATGTAGAAAACACTATTCTATTGAGACTAAGGGAGTTATAAACAATGTTTATTTGACTCTCATTGAACGTGGTGCCAGCAAGCAAGCACCTTTAGAAGAAACGGCCATATCGACGAAAATTCCAAAATCAACTGTATGGAAAATTGTGAATAATCCCATTTCAGCGAGGAAAAAAAGAAGCAATGCTGACATTTTCTCGAGTGTAGATGAAAGTGATCAAGATATAATACGGCGTAAAATTTACCAGTTATTCGAGGAACAAAGCTTGCATACATTAGATATCTTAATTAGAATGCTTGAAAAAGATGAAACCGGTGTTAAATGTGGCAGAACTAGGTACCTTATGGAAGTGTATACAACATATGGGTTTTAGATTTTAAAAAATTGGCAAAAGGCAAGTTTTAATGGAGTCTTTTAGAATTCGGAAATCGTGACTGGAATACATAGAAAAAAATAGGATTTACAGAGAACAACAAAGGCCAATTATCTACTTGGATGAAACCTGGTTCGACACTTATGATACCCCGGAAAAGGGTTGGGTTAACTCAACTGAAAAGTGTAAAACAAAGGCGCCATCAAAAAGAGGTAAAAGAATAACTATTTTGCATGCTTTCTCTAAAGATGGTTGGATTCCAAATGGACTTTCTCAGTCTGCGCAAAATATTAAAGATTCTTCTCTGGATTACCACGAAGACACCACCGCTGATTTATTTGAAAGTTGGTTTAACAACAAACTAATTCCAAACATTCCTCCTATTAGCGTAATTGTAATGGACAATGCAAGTTGTCACAGTAGACAGTTGACTAAAACCTCTTCCTCATGTGACACAAAAGCAACAATCCAAACCTACATGTAATAATAACGACATTTATTTTCACGAAGATTATACCAAATAGCAATTAATTGATGTTCTACAAAGCTTAGA